CGGTCGTTTGAACTGGCTTGCGTGGTCGTTGAAGATAACACGCGCTGTCACTGTTAAATTTATATTTGAATTTGCCAAACATTTCGGGGTGGGCCTCAACCTCTACGTCAGATCCAACTGCTTATTATCCACCGCTCTCCTACTCCTGTTGCCCTTGCTCTTGTTGCCATTGCTTTTGTTGCCATTGCCGCTCTTTTGATTTTCACTGCCTCTTAGTCCATCAGCTATTAATGGACCTTGACGCACCTTCTTTATTCAGCATCCTCTTTATCATCAACTCCTTCAACTGTACCAGCGCCATCCTTGTGCAGTCCACAGGGATTCAGCAAGTCCTCTTTTGAATCTTTCAGTCATATCAATACATAGGTCTCTCCAATCATGACTGCAGCACCGTTGACCGCAGTTAAATTCCAGGGGCTCCTCCAACACATTGGGGACTGCAACAGCAAGCCAGCAACCGGAGGAACGGCCAATAATAGGGGGTAAAGTGGCTCCGGAAGCATGACTCAATGCATGACACACAAGCCGAGTCGTCAAGATAATAGGATCCTCATCGCAATTTCGATCGACAACAGGATAAAGAACAAGGGGAACAAGTGGATTGCTTACGAACAAATCAACAAAAGGGGGATTGCTTGCGAGCGAATCCAAGGTATCGACAAAGGGATCATATGGATCCAATCGACAGATTAAGTTGCAATAAGGGGAAGGACTACCGATGAAGATAATGAGAGGAAACTCAGGACTCTGCACCAAGGGATAGCTCATTCCATTGACAACCATAAGGGATAGACATATAAGAATAAGAATGAGTAACATCTCATAACCTCGCATGCTACCATGCGACAATACCATTGTGGATTGATTAATCTAACGATCTAAGAGATGTAAAGTTTGTATTTCCAAATAAGTGAGCAGTTATTGATTATTTTCTAGAATAGGCCCGCAATTTATAAAGCTGTAAAGCTGAATTGTAAGCTGTATCCCGTCGCAGTGCAAGGGGAGTGTAACCAAGATGATGATCACAACGGGTTGCGCACCCCAAGCCTGGGCAAAGGCCATCCAACACGCTGCAGATTTAGACAGAAACACTGCAAAGGAATGTCTGGGATGGAGGACACCCATTGAAAAACTTACTGGGCAGACCCCAGACATCTCCAATCTCATCAAATTCAAGTTCTGGGATGTAGTACTGTACCATGAGCCTACCCACAAGTTCCCTGGACAAGCAGTTGGTGGAAACGAGAGGCTTGGAAGATGGTTGGGCAGGGCTCAGGACCATGGTGATGGGATGTGTTCTTGGATCCTAACCCTTGAAACTGAGCAACTCATTGTCAGATACGCGGTGAGGAAGGTTGAAGGGGAGAACATCTCAGATACCACTAGGGATGCTGTCTCAGTTCTCCACAAGGAAGATAGGGCCAGAACCGAAGAAGCTTTCTGCCCTGTTGTGTACACCCAGACAGGGGAGAAGGACCCTAGCACCAAACCTGGGGAGGAACCCAAGTTCAAGGCTCCCCCAGCAGAGGTACCCAAGGAAACCATCAAGGACCTGTTCATCTGGGACCGCATCCCCAATAAGAAAGGTGTGGAAAGAGATGTAAAAGGTCAGATCAAGGAGGTCTACAATGATGATGATGGTTCCACCCAAGCAAGGGTGGAATTCAAGGGTGGAAAGCAGAAGATCTATGAGTATAAAGAGATCGTCAAGATGCTAACCAAATCAGATGATGCTGATGCAGAGTACTGGGATTTTGACAAGATCCTAGACCACAAATGGTCCAAACAACCTGGTAGGCAAGGAAAGATTGATGTCAAGGTCAAGTGGAGTGGTTTCACTGAGGATGAGGCTACCTGGGAACCCATGGAAGTGATCAGGAAGGACAGCCCAACAGTCCTTGCAGAGTATGCGGCCCTCAAAGGCATTGTCCATGAGTCCAGGTGGAAGTGGGCCCACAAGTATCTGAAGAACAGGAAGAAGTTCCTCAGGATCAGAAAGCAATGGAGGCTGATGAAGAAGAGGACTGGTGGTGCTGTCAGATATGAGTTTGGAGTGAGGGTTCCAAGGACCAAGGCAGAGGCTTACAAGCTGGATGAGATCAATGGCAACTCACTGTGGACCGATGCCATTGAAAAGGAAGTGGACACACTGAAGAATAGGTTCCCCTGCTTCAAGAAAGCCAAACCAGGGGAGGTGACTGATGAGTACCAGGTTGCTCTGGCGCATCTCTGTACAGTTTAATGGAAGGCACCGAGCCAGGTGTGTTGCAGGTGGTCACATGACTGAGGACCACCCATATGACCTCTATTCTGGTGTTGTTGATCTCGAGAACATCAGGATGGTGTTTGTCATTGCCGCCTTGATGAAACTAGAGGTGATTGCAGGGGATGTTGGGTATGCCTACCTGATGTCCCTCACAGTTGAGAAGATCTGTGTGACCCTTGGAGATGAATGGGGTGCGACAATACCATTGTGGATTGATTAATCTAACGATCTAAGAGATGTAAAGTTTGTATTTCCAAATAAGTGAGCAGTTATTGATTATTTTCTAGAATAAGCCTGCTAATTGTAAAGCTGTAAAGCTGAATTGTAAGCTGTATCCCGTCGCACTCCCTTACAGCTGAAATGAAGCTGGAGCAAGAAACGATAGGAGAGAGTCCCCAGCAAAGTGCTGAGGTAAATTACCATCCCATGAGGAGCTTCCGAATGACAGCAAACTGTGGAGCCGGAAGACCCTTAGTGAAAATGTCGGCCCGTTGTTCCAGAGTCGGAATATACTTAGCCACGATGCCCTTCGACTCCCCGATATTGGACCTGAAGCAAGAAGTGGTACTTCAATGCCAAATACTTGTTGCGCGCAGACATTTTGGGAACATTCACAAGAGACAGGCAACCTTGGTTGTCTTCGAACACTGTAGAGCGCACGAGACTGTCAGTAATTACCGGCATATTCAGTTTGCTACCAATTTCTTTGAGCAAAGCTCGCATAGGAAGCAGCTCCCTCATTGACATGCTGAAGGCAACATACTCAGCAGCAGTGGAGCTCAAAGTAATGTCAGTCTGTAGCTTGCTGGACCAGATGATAGGGCACCCAAACAAAGTCAGGACAAATCCAGT